TAAATTATTCATTTATTTATTTGACAAATGAACAAAAACTCCAATCTGCCTCAACTCATATCTTCCTCCTGCGTCGACCTGAACTGGGTGCTTGCCTGTGCGTTGTAACGAGGAGACTGACACGGAGGGATCCATTTTGCAGTATTTAATAGACACAGTTCAATCACAAACATGCAACACGCACTAAAGTGCGAACTCACATCAACAGCATTCAATATTGGTTGTGGGGCTGGCGGCTGACAGACACAGGGTGATATATCAGGCATGGATCAGTGGCAGGCGGCATGGTTCAGAGTCCGTATAACAAGCGTGGGTCATGGGCAGGAAGCGTGGTTCAGAGTCCGTATAACAAGCGTGGGTCGTGGGCAGGCAGCGTGGTTCAGAGTCCGTATAACAAGCGTGGGTCGAGGGCAGGCAGAAGGCAACTCAGAGTCAGAAACAGTCCGGGGTAATGCACAGGAGATCAGGCAGGGAATAACACTCAGAAATGTTGGCCGTGGCTGAACAAGACTGGTGTTTGAGTGTGGCTTATATGGGGAACGTGGGTCGTTAACGGGATTCAGTTCAGGTGTGTGCACAATCAGTTTAGGTGGATGATGTAATGCTTAGAAGTCCGGGTATGGCGGCCTCTGCTGGCCAGAGAGGGGAATGACTGGGACCGAGTCGGTGACATGTGTAATCAAACGCATCAAGGGAGACTGATGCAGAGGCAATTGTCTTTAAATTTTGTGTCTTTGCCTCAGAAAGTCGACTTCTCGTGACCAAAGACCGGATTTACTAGCGCCACTTCAGCCGGCGTTTTGTAGTTTGGAAACATTTTTCCCAAGGCTGTGATCAGAACTAAGTTTGCTGGATTCTCTGAATGTGGGATTTCCCGATCCTGCAAGCACTCGTTTCACAGGGAAAAATAATACACCACGCACTCCTTCTGCACCAGGGGGATGAATGCATCCCATCCTCTTTTTTCACTCTTATTAATATCATAACTATTTGGCTGGTTAAAAAACCTTCTCACACTCAGCTGCTGTGACATTTTTCAGCTGTACGCAGCGGTGACAAAGAGGAGACAAAACCAGGGCAATCGCCATCAGCTGGACAGGAGTGGAATTACAGTTAGCTACAAATTACAACAGGTCACCCTCAGCATAATCCATCAAAATGACGGATCACTTTCAGATTTTTCCATCACTGCTGACAAAAATCCGACGGAAAATATTCGGTTAATGCGACCTCTTGTTTTAAGCAATGTGTAGGCGTTTGAAACTGAATAGGCCAGGGGTGTCAAACTCAATTCCTGGAGGGCCGAAGCCCTGCACAGTTTCCAACCCTGCTCCAACACACTTACCTGTAGGTTTCAAACAAGCCTGAAGGACTCAATTAGTTTGATCAGGTGTGTTTAATTAGGGTTGGAACTAAACTGTGCAGACCTGCGGCCCTTTTGGAACTGAGTTTGACACCTGTGGCAAAGGCGCATAACTGCGCTGGATTTTAGACCAGCTTTTAGGCCAAAACCCAATTCTACCCCTTAGCCCTTCCCCTTACCCCCCTACCCCTCGTTTTGCGCGTTCATGCCAAGGGGTAGGGGTGTCCCAATTCTCTTTAGCTTGAAGGCGTAGGGCTAAGGGGAAGGGGTGAATAGCCCTTCAAACGAAGATTTTTCAGAACCACACTTGAAACCAAAGGGTAAGAAAATTTCCCAGAATGCACCAGCCCGGAAGTGTGGAGATCCACAAATTAGTATTTTTTGTCATTATTACAAATTTTTACAACAAACAAACATATGTTTTAATATATTCATAACCGCGTTCATGTTTTAAAGTCATGCTTTAAAAAAAAAAAATAACTCCTGTACAGCAGTTCCACAACATTCTGACTCTCGATGACACTCGAATACCCTGTCAGAAAAGTCTAGTGGCTGGGAATAAGCATTTTACAGTGTCTGCTATAATGTTAGTGTTGTTTTGGTGTGTTTACATAGATGAATATGGCCACTGTGTAAATACACAGTACAGTTATGATCTTATTGCCACATTAGATCGTTATGATAACATAATATATGCCTTCAGTGATTTTCTGAAGATAAATACCAAAAATTAGCACAGCTGGAATAACTACAGCGTTCGCCATCGTCTGATCTCATATGAAGCATGAAAGAGCAATGACATGTGGATGACGTGTGCAGGCGCTGTAGTGCTGTTCCAATTCTTAGGGGTAAATTTTGAAGCCCTCCCCTTAACCCTCGGTTGTAAGGGCCAAGGGGAAGGGGTAGGGTACAAAAATAAAATTGGGATTGGGCCTTAGTTTGTCAATGGCGCAGTCTATTTCAGTTTCTCAAAATACCAACAATGCACCTTAACACACCTCCTTTAGAGCGGCACACCCATGAGTCCACAAAGTGGCACAAATGGATTTGCTATTTAATAGGGCTGTAACGATACACGATATGAAATCGAAATCGCGACACTCAGATCTACGATCCTGTGTCGCGGTGTGATAAGGGACAATCGCGACACACCCCGTGACTACCTTTCCAATGACGTCACGTGTGCCTGCAAAAGTTGAGCTAGTTGAAGAAGAACGTGAGGAAACACTTTTTTTTTCCCGCTCAACATTACGAGCACTGCTCCGTTTAAGCCCTCGCAATAAGCGTTTAACCGGGAGAGCTCGCACGGAGCTCTTAGTAAGGGACCGTCTGAATGTGTCAGGAATATCAAAAACAAAACCAACTTAACCCCGCTTGACAACAGACAACGGCAGAAACATTGCCAGTGCTGTCAAAGCATTGTTGTTAATGTGGCTGCGCAGAGAGGGATGGGCGTTCCCCAGATGCCCCGACTCCTCTGCAGAGGAAACTGTTCTGTAACCGTACTGTGCACTTTCTGTTTAACCCTTTGGGAGTTAACGTTACGTGCTGACTGACAGGTGCGCGATGCGTGAGGCCAGGAAACAACGAAGCTTTCAGTTAAGATGAACACAGTTTCTATAGTTATACTTTATTTAGAGATAAAGGTATATGGCTCTGTATATAATCACTCTATCTTGCTGGAGTTTATAGCAGTTTCGCTTTACTTCAGGACGCATTAATGCTCTGAAGGTCTAATCGCTGTTTTAAGTTATCCAGAGCTGTATGAATGTACAAATCTTGAATATCATATTATTGAATTTTACAATTTTAACAACATATACAGCAACACTTTTGCACAATTGATACCCAGCTGATTCAGTCGTTTCATAAGAGGACCGCGCTTCTTCTCTTTTTTTTTCCTTGTCAACATAAAGGCAGTGAGGTGCGCCTTGTTTTCGGCTTATAAAGCATGTTTGCACATTAATGCAATATCATATTTAAACAACAAAACTGTTTACAAAAAGTCAACATATGCGCGCGTTGTTGTTGTCTTTTCATCACGCAGCGCGCGCACTTGAACCGCGAGAGAGAGGAAACCATCAGGACATATTCTTTAAAATAATGATTTCTATTAAAAATGTAAAAGGTTTTGTTATTATAATAATAACAGCAGGGCATTAAATAAATGCATATTTTCCGTGGAGCGAGCAATTTGAGGAAGTCTGCGATATTTATTTGACGGAAGAAAAAACATGATTGGAAAAAAACAGCCTATGCCGGTTGTTAAAAAGAATCAGTCTGTATTTTTGTTTTGTAATATAAATTAATTATTTCAATGAAAATAATTTAGGGCAGTCCTATTTATTTTATTCATTTTATTTAGATTATTCTGCTCTTCTGTGCTAAACACTGCAGGTGCGTGAAGATGCTCTGTTGTTCTGTTCTGTTATTAATATGCCAGCATTTATAAATAAATCAGTAGCCTATTTTCAAATGCAATATTTAATGTGTGAGACACAAAATAGACACGTCAATTTGTTTAATATAAAATTAATAGTAATCTGACCGGTTAACCGTTAATAACCGATTAATGAGCGGCGGTTGTCGGTTAGCAAAATTAACCGAAATGAGCATCCCTAGTAGCCATTTAATTTACTTTTTCTATGTAAGACAACTTGATTGAAATAGAATTTTCAACATGCTTGAACCATCTACACAATAGAGTTTAGTTCTGTTTGATTTTTCAACAGTATTTTGTTACAAAGAAAACAAAAGTGATATAGCTTTGGCTATTTATTTATTTTATATATGGCTATTTATATTGTTAATAATTTGCATAGTTAATATTGTTATTTGATGTTTAGTTTATAAAGATTTTTCAAATGTTATTTAATAAAAAATTGTTTTAAAAATCTTTTTTTTTCCCACCCCACACGAAAAAAAAATCGTTTTACGAATCGAATCGTGGGTCAAAAATCGTGATACGAACCGAATCGTGGGTTTGGTGTATCGTTACAGCCCTACTATTTAAACAATGTGGTGCAAAACGTGACAATTATGGTTGCACTGGTCTGAAAATAGCAACAAATCACCCCATACACATCTTACGCCTTAATGTGGCTGGTGTCTGATAGGGCCCTAGGAATCTATTTAATGATTAGTGATTAATAACATTGCAGAAATCTTTTTTTCTTTGCATTATTACTGTAACATTAATATTGTGTCTAATATTAATAAGTGATTCCAATTTTTTACTATCCAAAACAGCAATACTTTATGTAAAAGCTCTAACAATACAAATACCAATACAAATTATTCAATGGCTATGTGATTTAGCTTTTATAAAGCAAAGTTCACTTCTAGGGAAAAAAATCATTTTTCAGCATTATTATAATTGTAATATTTGTGTCAAGTAACTTGATATATCAATTCTGCAGTATCGCTATCAACCCTATTGTGCAACAGTGTTCACAAATGGTCAGTATTACTGGTTAGTTGACTGAAATATTGGGGAACACATAATAACAACCAAAATATTTACAGGCAGTGGCATAGTGGCCACAGGGCCTCAATTCACAGGGAACCCTGGAGATTTGGGTTTTGGGTGTCCTTGTCCTGAAATTGACTCTGAATCACATTTCCTTCTTCTCCGCAGAAAACTAAAAGGGACGTCAACAACTTTGACCAGGACTTCACCCGTGAGGAGCCGGTGCTCACCCCAGTGGAAGACGCCATCATCAAGCAAATCAACCAAGAAGAGTTCAAGGGTTTCTCTTATTTCGGGGAAGAGACCCTGTCTTAATGCTGAAACCTCCATCTCCTGCGCTGTACTTTGCGCACATCTGCGCTGTGAACGCTGTGAAAGCCTATGAGCTCACCGTAGATCATCATTTACCAAGAATTTGATGCTTTAAACGAAAAGTAGCGAGTTAGGCTTTACGATCTTTCCTGCTGACGACACACAACAGAATCCCACACGTTCACCAAATGAAACTGAAACGAGTTGACCTGGTTTAATGTATGTAAAATAGTGAGCTATACCTAAGGGAGCTCATGTGATATAAGTAAAGCAGCTAGTTAGATCTCAGAATTTTGTAGACGGTCATTTTAGGTTCATTTCTTCTCCCATAATGCAGTGTAGCAGGGTTTTGGTACCTCTGGAGTCAACACATCTACACTAGAACTGCTTTGAAATGCAAAAAAAAAAACAACAATAGTAAAGAACCAGTGATTGTATTGCAGGTGTGATACTAATAAAGGTAAGAATCGGGAGTTTTAAAGCACTCAGCATTGGGATTGTCCCATAATGGACTGATAGCCGGAGACTTAATATTGAAAATGCACAGACTCAGAACTGCCTTTCTTGAGACCATTGCGCCATTTCCATTTGAAACAGCAGTGTTGATATATCCTCGTGTTAAAAACATGTGTTTGTGTGTGTGTGTGTGTGTGTGTGTGTGTGTGTGTGTGTGTGTGTGTGTGTGTGTGTGTGTGTGTGTGTGTGTGTGTGTGTGTGTGTGTGTGTGTGTGTGTGTGGGCATATATAATGGAGGGTAGGGTTACAAAAGGTCCCTCTTTAATGTTTCTTTGTGTATGTGTGAGTGTGTGTATGTTTGATTTTTTATGATATTAATGGGTTATTGTTCTGTTGCTGATTTCTTTAGTGCAACAAAACCTATTATTGTAAACGGGTCAGGATAGTAGCCAACCATGTCTCTACAGTCCTACTTACAGTACATGTCCTGATTACCCTGATTGTTAGCCTGTGAACTTTGGAAATAGACTGATCATCTAATGCATGGTTATGCCTATGATATTCTTCTGTATTGTTAGACAATGAGAAACTGTTATGTGCAATATTCTGCGTGTGTGTGTGTGTGTGTGTGTGAGTGTTGGTCTAGCGTTACAATTTTTTCCCGTCTCCATTTCAACTTCAGATTCAATGTCTCTGATTTTTACTGTTTCTCACAGTCTTCTACATCTTTGGTCTTTTATGCACTCTAGTCAGACAAGACAAAAAGTTAAGGTCTTACGTTAAATGCAGATAAATAATCTTCCATTCTAAATATAGCACAACTCCAGTACTCCAGAATTGCTCCCAATCTGATACCTGTCACATATTGATGACATATAAAGTTAGAATTTGATTAATAACAATATGATAAATATATTGTGCAATTGTATTACATAATCTTAAACATAATCTTTATTTTATTTATTTATTTATTATTTTTACTTGCCAACGTCAAGCTTTAAAATCTACATAAAACCAAATGCATTTATATTTTCTTTATGCATGTTCCTGGTTTTATTGTGCATGATTTGTCTGTTTATTTTATTATTTTTCATTTTATTTTTATTTTATTTATTTATTTTTGTTATTTTATTTATTTTATTTTTACTTTGTTTTTTGTTTTATTTGTTTTATTATTAAATTTTATATTATTTTTTTATTTTATTTTATTTTAATTTAATTTATTTTATTTTTTTATTTTATTTTATATTTTATTTATTTATTTTTTATTTTATGTTATTTTGTTTTATTTTATTTTGTTTATTTTCTTTTCTTATTATTTTCTTTTATGTTATTTTAATTTTATTTTATCGTATTTAAGTTTTTATTTAATTTTTAATTTAATAATTTTTTTTTTGTTTGTTTGTTTTATTTTTTATTTAATTTAATTTATTTTTATTTTATAATTTTATTTTACTATTTTATTTTATTTTAGTTTTGTTTTATTTTATTTCCCTCTGATATCACCATGCCTTGTTTATCACCATGCAACCAAATGCTTTTATTTTGCTATTTTAAACTCACTTTTTTTAATAAATTTTAAAGGCAGCCAAATCAGTTCTTGTTGCTATGTCCTGTCTTTTATTTTTATATAATATCACCAAATTAAATTGCGTTGTGAACAGTGTTTTATCTTGTTTTGTGGCTCTTATTAGGTTTTTATTTTTATTATTTTTATTTTTTATTTTTTTTTATTTTAATTACTTAGTTTTTTTTTTTTTTTTTTTTTTTTTTTTTGAAAGCATGTAGTTTGTGCCTTTCTGAACTGGTGTCTATTGGCTTGGACAGAATCCACAGAAAACACACAGTTACACCTGCCAAATACCTGTGCCCTGATGCAGTGTTATTTTGGACTTTTTGAGTGACTTTTCTCTATATTGCATTGACTTTTAAAGGATTCTTCATAGGAAACACATTGAGTTGTTCAAGGAAAATGGATGAAAGAGTACCTCTGGGTAAACATGAGTCTGCGTATCACAATGGAACACATATTAGTACTTACAGAGGTACAGTTGTGCATAATAATATAATTTATGTAAGTGTTTTATGTCACTGTAAGTATCATTAATTAATGTGTATGTATTTCTTTTTTATTGTACCGTGCAGCTTAATATGTTTGGTTTTTTTGATTGTTTTGCCATCAGTCGCTGTCATGGCATTATTCGCATTTTACTGTGTGCCAAATGTACTGTTCTCAAAGGATGTGAATGTGCATTGTTTGGTTTGTAATATATTAAATAATATGTCAGAAATATTGATCTTTTGAAGTTCCAATTTGTGAATAATTGTTTATATATTTATGTAATGCAAAAAGTTGGACAAGACAGTAGTGTTTGAGTTTATGCAGCATTAATTTAATTAAAAACATGATACAAATATAAAACAACTGTAAAAAATCCTGTTTGCCTTAAGTTTTTAAGCTGAATCAAATTAACCTTATGAGTCCTTTGAGGTTATATTATGTTAAACCGACTTAAAACAGCTTGCGTAACCTATAAAATTAAACATGATTCACTTAGTTTAATAAGTTACAATGAAATAAAAACTTATGCTGTTTTTTTTATTACATTTTATTTTATTTAAAAAAGTTTTTAATTTTTATTTTATTTTATTTATTTTATTTTATTTTATATTTTATTTATTTTTATTTTATGTTATTTTGTTTTGTTTTATTTAAATTATTGTTTATTTTCTTTTATTATTTTCTTTTATTATTATTTTTTATGTTATTTTAATTTTATTTTATCGTATTTAAGTTTTTATTTAAATAATATGTCAGTTGCCATGGTTGCCTTAAGTTTTTAAGCTCATCAAATTAACCTTTTGAGTCCATTGAGGTTATATTATGTTAAACTGACTTAAAACAGCTTGCGTAACCTATAAAATTAAACATGATTCACTTAGTTTAATAAGTTACAATGAAATAAAAACTTATGCTGTTTTGTTTTTTTTTATTAAATTTTATATTATTTTATTTATTAATTTTTTTATTTAATAAATTTTTTATTTTATTTATTTTATTTTATTTTATATTTTATTTATTTTTTATTTTATGTTATTTTTTTGTTTTATTTTATTTATTGTTTATTTTCTTTTATTATTTTCTTTTATTATTATTTTTTATGTTATTTTAATTTATTTTATCGTATTTAAGTTTTTATTTAAATAATTTGTCAGAAATAATGATTTTTTGACGTTCAAATATGTAAATAATTGTTTATATATTTATATAATGCAAAAAGTTGGACAAGACAGTAGTGTTTGAGTTTATGCTGTATTAATTTAATCAAAAACATGATACAAATATAAAACAACTGTATGAACAGGGTGACCCTACAGAGAACTGTGTTGAAAATTAAGGTCATCATGACCAAAACCAAGAGTGAAGGATTTTTTCTGTCATATGTGACCTTCCCAGTGGGCTTGTCCGAGGACATGAAAAAATGCAGATGCTTGCCGTCAATTGCTTTACAGTTTACACACTGGTCTGTAAAAGAGTTTTTGAGATTTACTTTAAGGTTAAAATACACAAGACACATTTTGGACAAAGTTTTGCTTCAATTTAACAGGTTGGAACATGCCATATGCTGTCCAGAAGAGTTCTGAAAAATTATACTTAAGTAAAAGTACCATTACTTGCCTAAAACTTTGTGCAAGTAAAGTAAAATATCACTCAAAGTACGAGTAAAAAGTAACCCTTTTCGAAGTACTCAAAAGTAGTGAGTATTACTCTGTAAAAACCTGATTAATTTACTTGTAATTTGTGTGTAAACGTAACATTCTGTAGTGCAGTGGTTCTCAAACTGTGGTGTACTATTAGTGGTACGCTGGCTTTCTTCTAGTGGTACACAGAGGAATCAAATATGTCATATGTAGATGCAACATATATTTCAAAATATATCAAAAATGATTTTTATATGGATATGATGACATATAGCCTACATTTATGAGGTCAAAATTTCCAGGTTTTGATGAATAGGCTACATTTTTTTTTTTTTTAATGAACAGTAGCCTACCATTTTCAATGAACTTTTAAAAGCACATTTTAATTTAAACGTTGACATTTTATTTTGTTTGTTTGTTTGTTTTTACCTTTAAACACAGTAGAGTGTTAATGTTTATGTTCAATCTGTTTATAATGTTTAAAGTGGCTGACAATAATAAGGTTTCTTAATAATAGGAATTAAACTGCCTTGTTTTTGAACTGTGCAGAGGTGGTATATGATGAAAAAAAATTGAGAACCACTGCTGTAGTGTATTTAGTATTGCCCAGCAGGCACAGAATGTCATAAGACATTAATATTGTTAGATTTAGGTCGTGACATCAGGTGTCCAAAATTCAACGTATAGCCAGCGTTTAAGGACAACGTTTTTTTGTTGTCCAATAAGGATGACAAATGATGTTGATATTTGGTTGATTTTAGGTTGTGTTAGAAAGTGACCATAATACAATGTAGAGCCAACATCTTAAACCATAGACGTCAAATACTGAAATTTTTTCGTCAGGTATGGCAACCAAAATCCAACATCTGATAGACGTCATTAGTGGTAGCGTCCACCTAACATCAAGCTGGAACATTGTTGATTTTAGGTTGGATGTTGTACATTGATGTTGGCCCTACATTGGGTTCTGAAGTCAACACGATTTTCATTTCCAAATAAAATGTAACATCCAACGTTGGGGTTCAACGTCAATCTGACGTCATGTCGACATCTCGTGCCTGCTGGGTGTTTAAGGCCATAGTATCTTTGAAATCCAGAACTCCATTGGTGTGGAAATATTGAGTTATCAACGCAATTTTTTGGGTTGCTACAAGTTAAATATTGTTTTAAACTAATTGACAGATATATTTATCTTTAAATTACCCACTTTTTTAAGTTGATGTAATTATCAATATTTTCCTGTTGTGTAAA